GTCCTGACCTGTAGATGAGTGTAAACTGCAGAGTCCTAGTCTGTAGATGAGTGTAAACTGTAGAGTCCTGACCTGTAGATGAGTGTGGACTGCAAAGTCATGTCTGTAGATGAGTGTAAACTCTAGAGTCCTGGCCTGTAGATGAGTATAAACTACAGAGTCCAGGTCTGTAGATGAGTGTAAACTGCAGAGTACTGGCCTGTAGATGAGTGTATACTGCAGAGTCCTGGCCTGTAGATGAGTGTAAACTGCAGAGTCCTGACCTGTAGATGAGTGTAAACTGCAGATTCTTGACCTGTAGATGAGTGTAAACTGCAGATTCTTGACCTGTAGATGAGTGTAAACTGTAGAGTCCTGGTCTGTAGATGAGCGTAAACTGTAGATTACTAGCCTGATGATGTTGTTCGTCTGTGCTGGCTCATTCTTTTGAACAGTGGCTGYTTTGTTTCCCTGATGTATAACTGATCAGAGTCCTCCTGACACTTAACAGCATACACAATATTACTCTGTTTTTGCCAGGGAACTGGATCTTTGGGGTGAACTAATCTTTGTTGTAAAGTGTTTTGGGGTTTGAAAGCTACTGTGACGTCATGTTTAGAGAATAAACGTCTCAGTTTCTCTGAAACTCCCGCCACATACAGAATGACGACTGGTCTGGGGTCTTCATTTTCACCTGGTTGTTGGCTGGAATCCTGGGTTTCTTATCTGCTTTCAGGAAAGCCCAGTCAGGATAACCACACTGCTCCAGGACCTGTCTAGTGTGTGACTTCTCTTTCTCCCTGGYTCCTGGRTTTGTAGGGACACTGTCTGCTCTGTGGTACAAAGTCCTGATGACTCCTAACTTGTGTTCCAGTGGGTGACAGGAGTCAAAACGCAAATACTGGTCTGTGTGGGTGGGTTTGCAATACATGTCCGTTTCCAACCATCCTTCATCAGAAACTGAGACATCACAGTCCAAGAACACCAACCTGCAATTTTTTACATTTTCACATTAAAGTCAGACACCACTCTCAGCAGCAGAACCACTCTTTCCACAGAACAACTGTGCCAACTCCTGAAACCATGCCTAAAGTCAACCTWCTTCACATATGGGGCCAATACTAAAACATGGGTGTGCTATGGGCTCCCCAATTTTCCCTATTGTTGCAAACCTGTACATTTCTGGTTTCTAACGCTTCTAACGCTGGTAACATTCTAACGCTTCTAACTTTRCTAATACTGTTAATGTTGCTAACACTTCTAATGAAAAGGGAAAAAAATTGTATAGGTCCTCTGGACGGGTTCTTCTTTAATGAAACGTTTCATCTCTCTTCCAATCTTCAAACGTTTCATTAGAGAAGAACCCGTCCAGAGGACCTATACAATTTTTTTTCCTTTTGATTTTTTACCTGGATTACTGAGATGCATCAGGACAACACTTCTAATGCTTCCCTACAAGACATTAAACTTGCAGTTGCAGCCTCTGTCTGAGCTGCACTTCAAACTGACAGACCTGTAGATATATTGTTTTCTATGAACATAATTTGGATTATAACTTTAAATAATATCTTCAGCAGAGCTAGCAGCATTTGCAGCATTTGCAGCATTTGCAGCACTAGTGGTCGGTTTTGTCTCAAGATGATGACATCATAACAAGAGTCCACCAACAGATTCCATCAGATTCCATCCCGAAATACCTAAATGTATACTTAAACATTTAGCCACAAAATTTAAGATTTAACTCTTTAGATTTAAACATTTAAATTTAACGTTTAGTGAAATTGAGTAAAATGTAAGAACAGTGAGCTAAATAACAATAAAATGTTTTAACTAGTATTTTACACTCAGAAAGTGAGCTAAATAATGAAAATGTGCTTATTGACCTTTTTTAACATTTTATTTTACACACCCAACACCCCATATCCCCCCTTCTCCTACTAAAATAAAATAAAAAAAATTAAGTGCTCTATCAAAGTAACTAATTTCCTTATTTCTGAACTCAYATATGTGACATTTTGTTTTTAATAAATGTTTATGTCAGTTTATCATGTAGAGCTTGGAGGAAGTGTTTGGAATGATTCTCTGCCACTACCACACTASGCTCAGGCTCGWTTTCTGTAAAGTTAGAGCAGTTTTTGTGTTGGCCTAAACTGATTGACMGTGGTGGGCATCTCCACTGCTGTGGGGTGGGACCCACCGTATAAAACATTATGTTTCAGAGTTCTCACTCTGCAGCCCTGTTTTACACACTGTCTTTAAACATGCTGTAAAGAGAAGTGCTGGGCTGTAATTTCACACATAAAGTATGTGACTCTCTGAYGGCCTGCTAACTCAACCTTCATCATCTCCTCTCCTCTGCCTCAAATGTCTCTACTTTCAGGAAATCCACCACAAGGTTTTTTACACCCTGTTGGTGAGAAACTGATGTTTCAGAAACTGAAGCAGCAACAGCTAAAGAGTCTGCTGTCTCACTGAATCCACTTCTTACAATGTGTATCACATTTACAAGCCCTGAAGTAACTGACCGTGTGTGTGTGTGTGTGTGTGTGTGTGTGTGTGTGTGTGTGTGTGTGTGTGTG